TTTCAGTGGGAAGCTGGTTTTGTCAGAAGGCTCGACAGAGTGTATTAGTCGTGGTCAAGTTAGAAGAGTGTTGCTGTTCAATGGGGTTGTGTGTGGGACTACAGACTCTGCTTCTCTTTGGCTCTGATATCCTCACGTTGGAGATTGCAACCACAAGCACATCGACCACACCGCTCTCATCTTCTTCCTCCTCCTCTGTGTTGGAGGATGAATCAGTTGGTGAATCAGTTGTATTCTTCTTCTCCCTGTTAGCTCTGTTTAGCTCGTCAGTTTTCTCTACGGGACTGCGAATCTGGAGGCATTGAGGAGATCCTGCTTGACTCTTGTGCTTTGACTTGATACACATCGTCTTCAGTGTCCGGTCTGTGTAAAAGAGTATCCATGGATGCCCTGAAACAGAGTGGAATATCAAGTCAACATAAGGTTAGTATTGAAAGACGACAAACAAAAGATCCAGCGACGCTGCACATTCAACTAATATCAAAGTCAATGCTGCAACTTAAGGAGCTGGAAGAGATTAAAAGTCTTACTTAGCACTTCATCCGCTGTGATTCTGGCAGATTCTTCTCTCGTTAGCATTCTTGCCAGGAGATCACGGGCAGGCTTGGACACGGACTCCCACACTCCCGAGTTGAAATCAAGCTTCACGTTTTTTATTGCTTCAAAAATGGCATCCAATGAGTCTCCCTTAAATGGGAGTACACCAGACAAGAGAGCGTATAAGAGGACTCCTGCACTCCAAATGTCGACTTTCTCTGAATAATTTCCAGAAAGAACTTCAGGTGCAACATAAGCAGGACTTCCTGCCAATCCAGACAATGTTTGACCTGTATAAACCAATGAACAAACAAGTAAGTAAAATATTCACAGCTCAATTAAGATACAGAGAAACGGTCAAACCTTTATCAAAAGTCGAATTGTCAAACTATAAGCTCCCATGAAAGAAAGGGAACCATGACATGTCAAGTAATATCAACATAACCAATACTTTAATCAGAACAAGTAAAGCATACACAACAACTATCTACTGTAGCCACAGAACTAGCTTTCTTCATCTGGCTTATGGTCAAGAAACAAATACCCATTACCCATGGAATAGCAAGACAAGCATGAGACATCGACTTCCATACAGAATATTAGATTTTGGGTCTCAAATTTTTTTTCACCAGTACTGTTAGACATTGATGACATGCCAACTTTATAGCTTCACAGCATCAAGGATATTCCCTAAGCAATGTGTATATAAAGTCATTACAATTGACATTTTCATAAAGACACTACAAGTCACAACCCTGAATAGAAGCATTTAATTGCATACACAAATTACAAAGGAACTACTAAGGCCTGAATATAAATTACCTTTAGCAATTCTCATGGCGAGGCCGAAATCAGCCAGCTGTATCTTCCCAGCAGCTGTTAGAAGAATATTCTCTGGTTTTATATCTCTGTGCACAACTCCCATCTCGTGGCAATAATTGATGACTAGCATAAGGTCCTTGAATATATTAGCTGCTCGCTGCTCAGAATATGTGCCTTCCTTGACCATCTGATCAATCAAACGTCCTCCCGAACACAGCTCCATCACAAGATGGAAACAATCTGACTCTTCATATACAGCATGTAATGTGACAACCCGGGGATGACCAGATAAATGTTGCATTATCTCAACTTCCCGGTGAACAGTCTCCTCCCCCTTCTTCAGAGTTTTACAAGCAAAGTCGATCCCATTATTCTTCGACCTGCAGATCCGTACTGACCCGAATTTCCCTTTCCCAATATTTTCGCCAAAAACATAGTCATCATCTATCTTATTCTTCCTACCAGTCTGTGTGGAAACATCAATGCACCCTATCTTCCTCTTCAAACCTCTTCCTGATGAAACCAAAGATGATGCACCACAAGGAGGTGCAGTAGCAACGCCAGCAAGTCGTCTCTTAAAAGAACCACCAGACTCGA